ACAGAGCAAAGGAATGCTTAAGGCATTACATGAAAGGCAGACAGCTGCCTCCCACTTCCAGAACTGTGGTTTTAAAAAAAAGTTGTAGCAAAAGAAAATACCTTCCACTGTTCTTGACTACTATTGAAGCCTTTTATTTCTGTTAAAGATAGCACTGTCATCCCTATCCTTCCTTATATTACATGAGTAAGATAAGAGTTAATGAGTAAAGTTAACTAGTTACTCCAGTGACTGGGACAATGACAAGAACTTGTGCTTTCAGGACCCAAAAATTGCACAACTGGAGTATTAGTCTTTCCTGAAAACATTTCAGTTCTCTTTAATTTAACGCTGCCTACATGACACATCTGTTATGCATACAGCCTCAGTGACTGCAGTTTAATGTAATTTTAGAGCTTCACTGAACATGGAAAGCCCTTACTGTATGTTGAACCAAAAAGTTTCTTGTTAATTGAGTTTGATTCCATTCTGAGTCAGCTTTGTCATTCAGGTTGGGGAGATTTACAGCATAGGGTGGGAACTAGGCTTTCAGAAACTGGCTGTTTCGCCAAGAAGGAGCCATAGGCTATGTTTAGGGTTCCATTATCCCTAGGGAGAGATGAACTCAAAAGGACTTGTTCCCGCAGAGCTTGGAAAGGGGACTTTTGGAATCCCCTTAGCCAGTATAATTTATGCTAGCCAGGAAATTCTGAAAGCTGTCCTCCACAGAGTAATTTTTCTAAGCTTTCGATTTGTGTTACATAAAGAGGCCCTTGACTGTGTGTTTTGAAATACACATCTCTTCCAACAAAGAAACACCATGCTGCATATGTTTTAATATGAGATGGTGCTTATAGGTTCAGGAAACACTCTGAAAAATATCCAGTACAGTATTAAAAAAATAAAACTTCACTGGCATGAATCTCTGTTAAATCTATGCAAATTAAGGACAGTTTATTTGCATACCTTGTTAGACCCATAAATTAGCAGCAGAGATGGCTCCCATTCTATTCATAATAGAATCATTATATCTGCTTGCTTTCCTTCTCCCATAACCAATTGGCTGACTTCAAGCACTCAGAAGATTTCTCTATGAATTAAGGAGCTTTTGGACTTCTAGTTTGGGGGCTTAATTTCAACCATGAAAGATCCGTGGTCCAGAATATATACAGGAAAAAAAACAGGAGCCTAAATGAGTGAACCACATTTGTATAATCTTTGCCCTTTTATTCCCCTCCCCCAAGGCATTTCTCCTTCCCTGATGAGTGGGCATCGTTTCAGATTTTCCTGCAATCTTCTTTTTCTGAGATGAAATAGACTGAGCTTATTTTACACTCTCTGCCATCACCTTGGTAACCAGCCACACTCACTCTCATCCTATCCCACATTTTTAAGGAAGATATTCTACAATAAAAAATGTATTTCTGACCCCACATTATTCCCTTGTATCTCTCCTGTCCCATATAATAGAGCATATGCATAACAGACTTTATGAGCTTTATAGCATGAGAGAGGCTGGGAAAAAAATTCCCATTTTCAGAAAAATGCATTTGGACTTTACACAGCTATAAATAAGTACAAACTGGCCAGCCTCAAAACAGCCTTTTCTACACCCAAGTTTCAAATTGGTCCATTTAGCCATTTTCAGAAACTGAGCTATAGAACTTACTGTTCACTCTTCCCCATCATTTCTGGTGATAATTGTGGAATATTATTAACTCAACTCATATTTAACGCAGCACAGTGAGTACACCACTGTAATTCAAATACTAAACAGTGAAAAAAATTGAACTGGTCTGTTCTGTGCTTATTACGTTGCACAAAGTGATATTTAGCATTGGAGACATATTTAAAAGACAGCCCACACAAAGACTTGTGAATAAACAAGAGTGTGGGTTTGAAGGTGTGTGAAAATTTATGTGACCTCACATAAATGCATTTTTCTGTGTCCTCCTTTCTAAGGAACAGTCTTGTCCACATCATTCTAAATCTGTTCTTTTGTCACACTCTGAGGACTGCTAGCCGTTTCTCAATTTTATAAAACGTATCTAGCAAACAGAAAAATATCTATTTAGGATTTGAAAAGTGACTGTATGATATGTATGTATAAGGTGAAGAGGCTCCGACACACCAGTTTCTCACAGTGTTCTTACAGTGATACAATTACCACAAGAACCAATTTTCCACAGAGTGGGTTATCTAGTTTCAGGACTATTTGAAGCAATTTTCTGAACTGGTCTGCATGGGGAAAGCATTGGTGAAATCCCAGCACTGCATGGCCCTAGGAGCTCATATTACTGTTACAGATACCAGTTCATTGGCCTAGGCTGAGCAGGCCTCAACCCATCTAAACCTACATAAAATCCAGATAACATATAGCTTTTGGAAGAAAAGGCTGCAACTTTATTGATTATAGCAGTAGCCCCTGGCTCTATATTCAGGAAATTGGGTCTGCTGCATAGAGAGATATGAAGGCCTCCTGATGTCCACCACTGACCCCTTCAGAAGACATTGGTGCCACCAGAAATGGCAGTCCTCTGGAGACCATATAGATGTACATCACCTGAGGGTGGGGCGGAGTCACTGAGGCTCTAGAATAGACCACACTGTGGTCTTACCCCAGCTCACCCATAAAGGGATCCCTTTAACAACCAAGTCAGGCAGACTTCTGCTTGCTGCCCTCATACCATCTGGATCCAGCCCCAATGCCCCAAACCGGCAAGGTGCAAACGGGCCAGGGCAATCTCCCTGACCCCTTTATGTCTGGCAGACAAATTGGATTGAATCCTGCCCTCCACCGCCCACTTGCTGAAAGTTCTAATTGGAAATTTCCCACTGGCCAATGAAAGCTGTCGGCAAAAAATATTTCCATGCTGGCCAACAGGAAGTTGGTGGAGAAACTTTCACATTGTCCTCTTGTCCATGCTGACTCCAGCCCCTTTCACATCTCAACACCAGTCTGGGGACTGCTGTTCCGGTAACAAATAGGGAGCTCCCAGATAAATCAGGGTCTCCCTGTTAGGTTCAGCTGACTTAAAAATCCGATTAATCTGAAAACACCTGCAACTACAATAATTGTAGGACCATATGAGCTGGACCTTTGACAATTTACGATTCTTATTAGAGATGGGCATGAACCGCCACAATGAGGTTCGCGATGGTTGCTGGTTCATCGGTGTCCACAAACAATGCCAATTTTTTTAAAAAATGAACCAGTTTGTGATTTGTTCAGTTTGGGCCCATCTCGAAATGAAGAGGGGCTTTCTGTGTAACCCCTCTTCATGAGTTTCCCAAGCCAAACACGCTCTTCATGGGCCCCAGCACCTACCTTACTCACTCCAGGATCCCTCCTCCACTGCTGCGCTGTCCAGATGACTAGGACCATAAGCTTCCTGGGCTGACTTCCTGTCCCAGTGGTTCCTGAGAGGCTTAGGGTATAGTGGGAAGTCTAGCTCTTTGAGAATTTCCTATATATAACCCAACCAGCAGCAAAACTTTACTTCCCACCAAGCAAGGTTCCCTCTAAGCCAGGCAAGATGCTCGTAATAGAAGCCCTAACCCCAAAATAAGCTCCAGCTAAGTGAAACCCACCCTCCACCATTGTGCAGTAACCAGAAGATGATGACATGGCTGTATTTGAATATATGTACAGTAGATTGTTGTACATGAAAAAAAATAAACATCTCCTGAAAATAAGCAAGTTACTAGAGTAAAAATTTAATATAAGACCCTGTCTTGTTGTCTGGGAAACACAGTATATGGGCAGCAACAACAACAGCAGTGGTGAAGGGAGGAGGAGGCCTGGAGTGAGTAAGGTAGGTCCTTGGGGCCATGAAGGGGGGCTTTCGGGGGGGGATGAAGCAAAACAAAATGCCAAGGATGAAAAAGTCCAGCATTGTGTTTCACTTTGTGAAAGCACAATTCCTCAAACTGCCCACAGAACTAGCCATGAAACAGCCCAGTTCGTGGGCTTTTTGTTGCTGCTGCTGCTGTCCTCTAGATAAGAGTCCCCAACCCCCTGTCCATGGTACCGGGCCATGGCCTTGGCAGGACCGGGCCATGGAGACAGATCTCCTGCCTCCTCCTCATGCACGGCCTGCCCCCCTGCACCACGGGTGCCCTGCACATCCCCGAGCGCACCCTGCCCATCCGTGCATGCACGTGAGCACCCCCAGATCTTTTGTACCACACCTCCCACCTCCTCAGCCTGCATAGCCAATGGTGAGTGACAATAGAAGCTGAAATCCTAGTCACCAGGTTATGGGAGGCTGATGTATACTGTTGTTTTTGTTTAATTACCATATTTTCCCTGTGTATAAGACACCCCCATGTATAAGGCACCCCCACTTTTCTAACCCAAAATTAAGAAATCTAAGTGGGACTTAGCAAATGTAGGATAAAAAGGATCAAAGCCCTGCAGGATCACTTTGATCCCCGCTTTCCCTTCCACTTGGTTTTTTTTTCTCCTAAGCTTACTTCTGTGTATAAGACAACCCTCAATTTTTTGTCTATAAATTTTAGACAAAGGTATAGTCTTATACATGGAAAAATATGGTATTTTGCAAAAGCTCTTCTTTTGAGTTGTCCTTTTGATCTACCCATGTACCACTACCCAGCATATCAAGAGCATCCACAGAGTTGAAATATTTGTCACCAGGGTTTTCCTTACAGGACAGTGGATATTCAGTTGTTCAGGGATGTCGAAGAGTTTTAAAGAAAAATACAAAATGTGAGGTCTATAGCATTAAGCTTTGCATATAGGTAAGAAATCTCACTAGAAATAACTATAGATTGATAAATCTTAAGATTAAAGACAGGTTTGTTTTATTAGACCTGAACCATATACTAGAATAGCTACAGTGCTCAAGAAGGTTGAAGAATAGTCAGATCATGTAAGAAGGCTATTCCTCTGTAACTGTAGAAACCTGGCTGTGAAATAAAGGGAAATGGCAATCATGCCACTGTACAATGTTGAATGATTTTCAGATAACAATATTCTTATTTTATTCTTCTTTTGACAGTGATTGGCACAAAGCTAATTGCATGTGTAAAGCGTGGCGAGGAAAATCAGAAGACGGCTAAAGCCCAGCCATGTCTCCAGAGCGGCATACAATTTCAGTTCTTCATGGGAGCTACAAGACACTGGTATGCCTCTTAATTTTCACCATGCATGTATGCTGTGGCAGTGCCTCTGGGATGTGTCCTCCAGCTTGCATCTGTGCCAGTGATATTGTAAGCTGCACCAGCAAGAATCTCTCAAGGGTGCCGCCAACCCTCTTCAAGCACATAAAAAGACTGGACCTCAGCCATAACCACATTGGGATTTTGGATCACGACTGGATGCCTGTCCTGTTGGAGAAGCTGAACACCTTGATTGTTAGTCATAACAGTATTTCTAGCATTTCCACAGGAAGCTTTTCAATGACGCCAGATGTCAAATACCTAGACTTGTCGTCCAACAGCTTGAGGTCTTTAGGTAGCCCCGTCTTTCAGGAGCTGAGAGCGCTTGAAGTTCTGCTGCTTTATAACAACCATATTGCACAGATTGATTCTGCCGCTTTTGGAGGGATCCACAAATTGCAGAAACTGTATTTGAGCTACAATTCTCTTACGCACTTCCCAATAGATTTGTACATTGGGAAGTTCAAACTCTCCGAACTTGTGCTTTTAGATGTTGCTTACAATCGAATCCACTCAATCCCCATTAACTACATGAGCTTAGTGCCAGCCAGCCATCTGAGTGGAATTTATCTTCATGGGAATCCATTTTATTGTGACTGCACTCTTTACTCCATGCTGAGCTTTTGGCACCTCCGGCACTTCAGCTCAGTGGACGATTTCAAGACTGAGTACACGTGCATTTTGCGGTCAGACCCCAGAGGCTCCAGTAAACTGCCTTTATTGCATGATAACTATTTGAATTGCTCAGAAAGCACCATCAATGGTTCTTTCCATGCATTTGGGTTTATTCATGAAGCCCAAGTGGGGGAGAGGCTGATTGTGCCCTGCGACACAAAAATCAGTGATGCAGGCACCCACTTCATTTGGATCAGCCCAGACAATGAGCTCCTGGAGCCTGGCAAGGCCACGGACCACTTCAGAGTGTTTCACAATGGGAGTCTGGAAATAGATGAGGCTCAGTATGAGGATGCTGGCATTTATTCCTGTGTTGCAATAAATAAGAGGAGACTGTTGAATGAAACAATTGAGGTGAGGATAAATGTAAGCAATTTCACTGTGGACCGGTCTCACTCATATGAGACATTCAACACTGCTTTCACTACCCTCGCGGCTTGCGTAGCCAGTATTATTTTGGTACTGCTTTACCTCTACCTGACACCATGCCCTTGCCGATGCAAGTCAAAGAGAAGGAAAAGGCAGCTGAACCAAAGTAACATGCCCCATGCATCCATATTAACCTCCAGTTCACCCCTTGAACTTCCAGCTGATGAAAAAAAGGCCAGCAGTGGCAAGCGGGTTGTGTTTCTTGAACCTGTGAAGGAGCCAAAACTAGGACAGAATGGGAAAGTCAGAATGTTTCCCAATGAGAACATCATTGCAGAAAGTATTTTGAAAAGTCCACGAACAAAATCGGACTCAGATTCTGTGAACTCGGTCTTCTCAGACACGCCTTTCGTGCCGTCCTCGTAGTCTGTGGCCTGTTTTCTCGTTGTTTGGTTTAACTTAGCAGCTACCCTGCCTTTAGCGAATATTAGAAAGAAACTGTGTGTAGAGGAAGGAGAGAATGGGAAATATTCAAATTAAAAAACGGGGTGTGAGAAATTTTCAGAGAAGTTACTGTAATTAAACTCAGGTGTATTTTTCTCTGAGTAATGGATGAGAACATGCAAATGTGTAGTAAGTGTGACATTAATACTGAGGAGGGGAGCCCTTTGCTATGTGGCATGTAGCTGTCTCTTACAGGTATATGCTGCTTTCATTTTAATCTTTCTTGCTTAAGGTTATGGGAATGCGTTATGAGAGGACACGTTCACGTTTTCCTCCCATACTTGACAATGGAGGAGAACCTTTTATCAAATTAGACCTCTAGCTGTTTGCCTGTCTGGAATTAGAGCTTGGGAAATAACACTTTGTGGATATCCAACTTCCAGAATCCCCTAGCCAGCCAGGCTACCGGCGAGCTGCATTAAAAAAAATCTTTTCCAATCTCTTTCTAAAAGTGAAGTAATTATTATATCAGGGACCAAAACCTTAATCAATATGCTCCTAGGTTTTGGAGTGAAAGAAAGAAATAGCCATTTATTCAGCTTCTAGTTTCTGCCTGGAGGCACTGAGCACATAAAAGAAACAGATGAAGTTGAACAAGCCACACTATTCCAAAATGAGTTTTTACATAAATTATGAAATAGAGTTTGAATGGTTTCCCCCCCCCCCTTTTGTATACCGGAATTTTAATAGCCAGAAAAAGAATGTATGATTACTTGGTATATGAACACTTTTACTAACCTTGGCACAAAACTTTATGATCTGTAAACCACTTAAGCCTCAAAGGCTTTTATTCCAAGAGGGACAGCGTACATTGCTCCTGTTAAGAAATCCAGAGTAGATTGATGTCAGCAGAAATGGTTCTCCCACCCGTGCACAGTACTGGGAAAAGCTGTACCTTTGGAATCTCTGCCTTCTTAATCCTTCTTAAAGGGACAATAGCCATGTTGCTTCTGGAGTATGGCCACTTCAGCCTATCTGTTTGTACTGAAATTTGTGCATGCGATCTGTGGCTTGAGCAGAAGACACTGTAAAACAAAACAGAGAATAGTTTTATAAAGCAGCCAATTTTTTTGCAGTCAGATGATCTGCTTAAAAGCTACTGCACTTTGAACATTTTTCCTAACCTAATGAGAGCCATAGTTGAAACCATCAAGCCCAAATTGACTAACCCTAATGCAACCCGGGTTTCTGATCGTCAGCAACAATATGGTTTACATGGCTGGACTTTGCCTGCTGTGGCTGACAGTGGAAGCTGGTTGCCGGTAGTTTGTTGAATTGCAGCCTTATCTAAAAGATTTGAAATGGTTCAGCTCCTTTTTCATTATTTAGGGCAATGATACAGAGTCATGAAAAAGAGAAGATGATTTAATGAAATGCACTTTTTGTAATTTGGTGTCAAGAGTGTCAATGAAATACTCATCTCTAGACAGATCCGTTTCAGCACTGTACATCTTCGGCACACGGTTTACATTACAAAACGCGGTTGCAAATGAAAAAAAAATGCTATGCTATTCCCTGGAAACAAAGCTCCCAGTGTGTTGAGCATTGCTTGTACTATTCACGCTCAGATTAAACAGGTATGAGTCTGCTGCAAAAGCACACAGACTGACCTGTGTTGCCATGGCTTCAGAAATATCCTGTACTTAGATAAGGCAGAGAAGCTGGGCTGCTGCTGCTGTTTCTCAGCTGCAGTCTTCTCATGGAAGTTGGTGTTGAATATTAATTGTACGGAGAAGAGACAGGGAAAGGAGCAGCCACCTCCATGTCTTTGGCCAACAAATCCCATCAGTCCTAGTCACTGTAGCCACCGATGCCACAACTAATGAGAGTTGTATTCCAACAGTTAGAAGGATCACATCTTCCCCACCCTTGACATCTAGTTCACTGTGGTGAGTGAAATGCTTGCAGATTTCTTCTCCATCTTGCCACTTTCCTCCCCTCTGCCATGGGCCAGTTTTATGCCATACATTCTGGCTACATCTGACAACTGTAGCTACAGCTGGCCAGAAAAGGAGAAAAATATTTTTCAGATAACAACTCCCGGCATCAAGCTGAAATGTTGTTGTCAGAAAAAAATAACTTTTCCTATGACGTAAGCCAGCGTAGTTTCACCACTACGGGACTCCTCCTTGGCCCTGGTGTTTAGGGTCGGTGCCATTGCAATAGCCGTGTCTCACTCGTTGTCAGAGGTCATTGTTTGATCCAAGCCCTTGAAGCACTTGCTTGCTAGTATAATTGTTTGTGAGCTCAAGGGCATTCAGTCCACTATAGGATTGTTGTAATTAAAATGTCATCTCCCTGTAGTCAATTGAGGCAGCTTCCTTTCCTGCAAATGACAGCAGTTTCCCTTACAGAGGTCTGACCCTAGTGAATGAGATTAAGAACTACTTGTGCAGTAGAACAGCCTTGCAATTCTGTGGTACACACACATATATAGTTTTAACATCTCTGTTCCTTGAAAATTCATGTGATCATATAATTCTTGATTAATAAAGTACCTTGAATTAACCTTTTTACTTACTCCAGTCTCTGATTTGGTGATACAATCAATGGATTAAACAGAGGCGAAAGGAAATGGGAAAACATGCATTTGGTATAAATAAGATTTTGTGTACTGTCTGTTTTCAAGCACATTTATTATCTTGGCCATGGAAATCTAAGCAGAATTGGTAGGCTGTTGCCGAAGCTGGCTGCCATCATGACTGAAGCTGAAATGGTCAACCTAGAGATGTAAGTCAATCATACTTTCTATATCAGTTGCAAATACAATAAAATGCAACAGATTCATACACTTTCAGGGGGGGGGTTATTTGCACAGCAGCAGAATATCATCAAAGAGGAGACAAGGTAGGACATCATGGCAGAGAATTCTAGAATCTAGAGCCCTATTCAGTCATTATTAAATCGGGTACTCATATAATGGGTGGAAGGGAACACAGTAGTCCTGCCTCCCTCTGTTTCTGGTTTTATCCTCTTAAATGCTGAGCCTGAACATGAGACCCTGTGCATTCTGTGGGGCTCTGCAGATGGATCATGAAAAATCAGCATTCTAGATGTCTTGGAGAACCCCCACAGATAAAGTGGCCTGCCCTCTTTAGCCTTGTTGCCCTCCACACGTTGGACAGCAACAATACCAGACATGGGGGCAGGAGGCAGGGCTAGTATAGTCGTTCTATCCCTAATAATAATTTGTTGTTAGGTGCCATCATCGAGCTGGAACCCACTTAGACCGTAATAGGGCTTTCAAGGTAAGTAAGAGATTTAAGGAGCAGATTTATCAATTCCACACCCCCAATGAGTTTCCATGACTGAGCAGGGATTTGAACGAAAGCCTCCTGACTCCTAGTCTATCGCTCTATCCACTACACACCACACTGGATATCCCCTGGTGAGTGTAACGGCTTTAATAATTAATGAATGGGGCACAGGTGTGACCAGACTTTTTTATGTCCAAACAAAGCACAAAGCAATTCAGATTGTGATGCAATGTGCAAAAGAATGCTTCCATTGGTAACTGGTTTGCATGGAAGGAGTTTGCTTGTTGTGTTAAAGAAGCTACCGGTAATTCTTTTTTAACAATCCTTTTTGTTTAAGCAGCTATTTAGTTGCCCCAGAAGTATCCAGCAAAGGATAAAGAATGTCACTGTGTTGATTTTCCTCACTGTTCTGAATATACAGTGCTGCTAAGAATGGAGGAACACATAGCATCTCACTGTACATGCTTCATACTTGGTCCATATGTCCACTGAAACTTTGAACAACTATATGAATGAAAGAGCTTATTCACCCTCTTCTCCCATTTTCTGAAACCAAAAATGCTAGTCCAGCAACCTAACAAGGGGAGGGGAGGACTCAGAATAAAAGTGCACCTTTCTGGATCAACCGAAAATATGATTCTGGCAAATGTGAGCCTATAAATTTGTTGCAATCAGTATAAATGTTTATATAAAATGCTTGAAAAGTTACTAATTTTTAAAGAAAGCTGGTGCAAAAATGTGTTTTCGACATGGTAAAAAAATACAAAAAGCTTTGATGATTTTATTTTTCCACTTCTGTATTTCAAAGGGGCTAGTGCTTCATAGGACTTTTAAAGCAAAGGCCATAATGTAGTTGCTGAGATTTAGGATGAACCCCTTAGGAAGATGAGTCAGTATTTTAGGTATCGGCTATACTGTGTGGTACATCATCCTTCTATCCCATGGTAAGCCCTATTCATGTGTTCAGTAAAGGATTGATTTTAATCCAAGAGAACAAGAACTAGGCCACCCCTGCTCTCCTTCGTTTTGATGTCTGACTCTGCTGCTTGAAAAGCTAAATCTGAAGATGAGAGCCTTGTGTATGTGTGAAGTATCTTCCATCTGATCCAGGAGCTCTGATTTTCCTGATTTTCTAGCCACTTCTATTAGAGGAGCTTCCCCAAATAGAAGTGGTCAGCCTCTTCAGGTTTAACTCTCCATGTGTGACAGCTAAAGTTGAGAGGGCTAGCCTGCTCTATCTCCTCCCAGGTGAAGATGAACCTTTGTATTGAATGCCTAAACTGGGCTCTTGTGTGCAACAAATGACTGTCTGGAGGAATGCCAGTGCCATTATTTAATCTCAGATTATCAGTTGAGGATCTTCACACTGTTCTCTCCTGGATGGAAATGAAGTAACAACCAGAAAGTGGGTTTACTCCGGTTGGGACTGATGACTGGATTCCATCCAAAACAAGAGTATAAAACCACACAAGAACCGTTTCTGGTGAGGGATGACCCAGCATTATTTTAAACAGTACAACATTTTCTCTGAGGTAGTTGCAGGGAAAATCCTGAGGTCCACAGAGCACACATGCCCGTCGCTGAACTTGGAGAGCCACCTGATGCCAAGCACTAAAAAACAACAACCCTATTTTCCCCCTAAACTGAAACAGTAACAAGAAGCAATGCCACCTTCCATGTGCAAACCAGCGCCATGGAGAGCAATTTCACAATTTGTTTGGCTGATCTTAAGGTATTCTCAGTGACTTCCAGTGTTGAAAAAGCCACCACCCCAGCCAAATAGCTGAGCCCTAGAGGCACAAAGGGACAGTACATTTTTAAAAGAACAATAACAACTAAATATGATGGGGATTTTGGGGAACTGCACTGGGGTTGTGGAGGTTGGCCACAGTTTTAATATAATAACAAGAAAACTCTTCAAACCAACTCACCAGTTAATGAAGAAGTTGCTACTGACCTTCAAGGGAACATTAAGAAATCTTTGCAGAAGTAGGGAGTTATTTTTGTTTGCCTTTTAAATTGAAGGAGGAGGTTAAGAAAGATGCAGGATTTACTGCTGCCTGCCATCTGTGCATGGACAAATTGGACTGTACAAAGAGGAAATGAATTACTGTACAGAAGGAACATTTTGTAATAAAGCCTGGGCAACCGGTGGCAATAGCAATGTTTTAAGTCGAAAGAGTTTATCCTCTCTGTCAAGCTGGGCTTCTTTTAGGCAGAAAAACCGCCACCACTTTGGACGAGTTCTGACACAATAAACCCAAGAAAGACCCATTAAAAATTCTAGCCATTTCATTCCAGCTTGTGTCTAATGAAGTTCTTTCTTTGTTTGGAGCAAACGTACATTTTAATGCACTGCGAATGAGAGTTGTAGGTGCAAGAATGTTGATCTTTCTTAATAATTAAATACTAATGAGAAACTCCAAAGCAGCATCAATAGCCATGTCGACTCTTGCTTTAGTCCAGTTTGGATAACTAAAAATTAATTTGGAAAGCAGTCCTTAGTAATAAATAAATTGTTCTGACTGTATTGAACTGCAAGTTTATAGGAAAGTAGTTTTGGTGGCCCCTTCTTAGATGCACACCTTAATGCAGTGAGGAGGTCTGAGTGTGTCAGGTAAAATGAGAACAATGCTGTCAGAAGGCCAGACACCACCTTAAGCCAGGGTCACCAAGGTGGAATGGTCACGACTGAGATGTCAAACTAAGAGGCATCAGAAGTAATGGCCACATCAGCAGAAGTGAATGGGTAGTTCCAATGATGATAGGGGCAGAGAAGTTTTTGGAGGGCAGCTACTGAGCAGCAATGGTAGCTGAAGGTGACTCTGGAAGACTATCCTTCACAAGCAACGATAGTGTCATTCAAGCTAGCTTTGATTAGTGCTACATAGAAGGAAGCAATAGTAAACCACTGCTGAACCTTTCTTATCTTGAAAACCCTATGATGAGACAGTCCAAAATGAAACAAGAGACAGTGCTGGAAGATGAGACCCCCAGGTAAAAAGCACTCTCCATCAGCTGCTGGGGAAGAGAAAAGAGCAAGTACAAATAGCGCTGTCACTAACAACACAACAAGGTTAAAGCTGAAAGGACATCTAGTGGCTCACATGTACAGAGATGAAAAAAAGTTTAGTGTTTCACAACATGCACAACTGGAACTTGGAAAGTAAGAATTATGAATCAAGGCAAACTGGAAACTGTAAAGCAAGAAATGGAATGTTTCATTATTGCAATGTTTGATAACAGTGAATAAAGTGAACTGGAATGGGACATTTTCAGTCAGACAACTACACAGTGTTTTACTCTGGAAATGAAATACTCAGAAGAAATGAATGTTGTGTCCACTCAGTGTCCTTTGTTTATTTTCCCTAAACACAAGTCCACCCTCTGGATGCGCTTCTTCACTTCACGCTGCCACCAGGTATTATTCCCTCAATACCAAATAGATAGATCTTAGACACGTGCTGCCAATCCAACAGATTTGATGATCTTATAGTTGTTATGCAAATCACAGGAGAAAAATCACAGATGTTCAGGATTATTTATTAAATATCATTTGCTTTCACGTCGGTTTCTATGTGTATTTATTCACTGTTACAATATGCTTTGATTATCTATATATTCTCTACATTTTTGAACTCTTTCTTCTTCTCTCTAGCATTCCAACTTTCCATCTCTGTCTTACTTTCTCAATTCAATCTCATAACTCACTCTCTCTTCACTTCCCTATCTCCAACCTCTTTTCTCCAACTCTCCTCTCTTAACTGTCTAACCAACTGTCTAACTGTTATCTTGGTTCTGCCCCTCCTGTCCACTCATAGGCTCCTGCCCTTGAGCTCCCCATGATGGACAGGCGTGATGTGGGGGTTCCACCACAGTGAAGTTTCTCAATACTGAGGCAAGATGTTGCACAGGCAGTTAGGGGTTATAATGCAAGACCTGACTAAACAATATCCATCAAATTCCTGGGGAAAGCAATCAACATAACCATCATTAAAATCTGTTCTCCAACTAGATGCTGAAGAAGATGAAATTGAATGCCTTTGTGCTAGTATCGAAGAAGAAACTGATCACTCACCAAAACAAGACAAGTTTATAATCAGAGGTGACTGCAACACAAAAGTAGTAAATAAAGAAGAAAATGTCATAGGAAATTTTATCTAGGGGTCAGAAATTAACCAGGAGTTCTGTGAAGCCAACAATCTGTTTATTACAAATATATGCTTCAAGCA